TTTGGTCACTGTCTAAACAAATTCCACTTGCCATGCAAACCTTAATTCTTTATCTGGTTGAAGGACTTTCACTAACATGCTCCATTAAGAATGTTTGTAACAGCTGCATTCAATTTTTTGACACCATCACTATAAGTCTGATTTGCTTCCATTAAACTCATAGTTTTGTTTTAGCTTGTAAAAGAAATAGTTTTAAATAATTCAAAACAAAAGAGAACATAGATAATGCACCTTTTCACTGTCACAGATATTAAAGTGTTTTGTGGAAAAAGGTCATCTTGTGTTTGCAAAGCTGTGTGTCTCTATACTACTGCAAGTGATTCTGACAGCACAGCTTACTTAGGATCTATTTTGTCTTCATTAGACATTTTTAACTGAAAGATAGTTAATTATTAATTTTGAACATATGCAGAACTTCTGGAAGGTATGTTACCAGATGGCCAAAATGTCCTGAAATGGTGTGTTATATCATGAAATTGAGGATAAGAAAAAGGGAGAATGGCAGTGAAGCTCATTCAGGTGGATTTGAGAAACAAAGTTGTGTATTCCTGAGCAGCAGGCCAGTGATGCGAGGCAGTTCTGGAAAGCAAGTAGGGCCTGCACAGCATTGGCATGATCATTGATGTAGATTTACAATATGTATTTCTTGAAGAATCTATCACACCCCATGCTATGACTGACACTGCAAATAGCCCAGCTCCAGAAATTTCCATCATGTGCAGTGAGCAGAGCTGGTAGGCTGTGTGGAAGCTGGAGCCTACAAATGCCCACACCTTTAGTTGGCCTGCCAAGAAAAGAGAAAAGACAAACGGAGTAAGTTAAGATAAAAATAAAAATAGACTAGCTATCTGGGGAGACTGTGAGACTTTGCAGGTCATGATTTGAAAGGAACAAAGCCATTGTTCCTTTGCTTTCCTGGATGATGGATGTCTCTGATGCAAAGAGAGTGGCAATGGTGGAGGTAAAACTGTGACCAAAGTCTCCAGTCTATTGATACCCATAATATGAACGATTTTTGTAGACTGGGCATCAGATTAACAGGCACTGCATATGAGGAAGAATGTGCTATATTGAAAACCTGAAGCTCTGAAATGTGTAATTAAAATGTCTTTGCCTTTACAGTCCAAATAGCACAATTTTATATAAATTATGGATATTTTAGTGCTATTAAATTATTTACCTAAAGGAAGGGGAGTAATGGAAACCATGCACTACTGATGCTCCGCAGAAATTCTGGTGTGCAAAGATTAGGTGATGCAATATAGACTTTAAAAAACTATTAGTTCCTAAAATATGTATATTGAAAGACTTACAGGTTAACAATTTAGTATTTTAATTTACTGAGAAATTGGAGACAGACAAATTTTTGTCAGTAACAGAACTATCTGAAAAATCCTAATAATTTTCCATTCACCTGAGCTTATTCTAAACCATATATTATTTTTATATGTTTCCTCTTTTAGAAGACAAAATTGATGCCTTTGGCTGATTTTTGAAATGTTATATTATGACAGAATAGTTATCCTAAAATATCAACAGTCTATGACTGAATCCATATTTTATCACAGATAAATATAACATATTACAAGTCAAATGACCCACTTAATCTGAGCAATAGTGTCACTATCAGTAAAGATGTATAGAGAGATCCTGCATGTTTTTTTTTTTTTAATACCATGCACAGGCATACATCAAATATAATTAGTATAATTTCATATAGTAAAATAATATAATATTGATTACTGGAATTTATAGAATATGTTCTATCCACATGAATATACTGATACTATTTGATTCCAAAACGGGATGAACTTAAAATTGTGAAGTGCTGCTTTAAATTAGACCCATACCCATTGTTGCCTTTCAGGTTTTATCTGGAAGGATCAGCTTTGAAATTATGGAGATTCACTTTGTGTATGTATATGCTTTCATATTTATAGTTAAGGCTATCCAGACAAACATCAAATAGCCTCAGGCATTGACAGAAATTTATGCTTTATTGTCTTTGCAAATCATTATGTTCAAGCTGCACCACCACTTTGTAAGCAACCCCCTAAAATATTTATGCTGTTCAACTTGCCCTGTGCTATTACAGAACATTATATTAGCATTATGTAATTTTTTAAAAAAGTGTTTAGTCTAATTACAGTTGAACTGTTATTTTGACTTGCCATGTTCTAATGGTGTGTTTATTAATTTACAAGAACAGCTTCCATTTCATTGCTCCCAAATGCTTCAAAGATAAACATTAATTCACGTAAAAACAATTCTAGAATTTGAAACCTTCTAAAATGTTCTGTTAAGTCAGTGCATGACTTTCTTTGCAAAAGAACTTCCCATTTCCTTCCCACACTGCAATCACACGTTTACATCTCTGAAGCTATCATCTTATCCCCTTCTCTTTGGCAGCACATTTGATCTTGCTGCAGATAACTGTCATTCCCAACAGATACTGACATATGAACCTTTTCAAAGAAGTTATGTTTGTTGTTTCTCTCATTAAAAAGAAAAAATAAAATTTGTTAAAGCCAAGGCATTAATGACACTGACCACATCTCACAATAACATTACCTTTTATTAGAGATCTTATTTTACATATCCCCATAAGATATAAAACCTTCCAAGAGAAAATATCAATTCAGCTGAAATCAATTTCTTTCAGACAATATGAGCAAGTAAACAAAAGAAAATTAAGATAAAGGAATGTAAAAAAACCCCAAACCATAAAATCAGAACAGGTACAACTCTTGTATGGAAAGTAATTACAAGGTTTTAAACCATTTCTTACACAGCATTGTACTTAAAATCATACTGGCAAGGTAAAGATGTTTGCTTCTCTTAACCAATAGCTACAAACCCAGCAGCTATAAAAACAGGAATAAACCCAAAATAATAGAATTTAATTATGTAGCAAATTCACAGAACAAAAAAAAAAAAAAAAAAAAAAAAAAAAAAAAAAAAAAAAAAAAAAAAAAAAAAAAAAAAAAAAAAAAAAAAAAAACCCCACAAACCCAAAAAACCAGCAAAATAATTCATTAAGATTTGTACAAACCAAAAAATCAAAACCCAAACCAAGGAAAACAGAACTTCATTGGCAGCAACATTCTGAACCAATTCAAGCAAAATCCTTTTTGAGACTTTGACTGGAGTTTTGATTTAGTAAGGGATTTCAGGAAAGGATCTTGAATTAAAAGCTGCCATTACACACAAAAAAAAAAAAAAAAAAAAAAAAAAAAAAAAAAAAAAAAAAAAAAAAAAAAAAAAAAAGCAAGCAAAAAAAATAGCGCAAAGGAATAAGGGTTATATCTGCTGGTTAAGGAAGATTCAGGCACCATGATTGTACAGCTCATGATAACAGTGAAGAACCATTGCTATATGAATAATCTTTCAAAGCAATTCAAAAAGGCAAAATACTTTAAAATTTTATTGCATCAAAATTTTTCTTTTCTGCCTAGCAAAACTGAAACTGTATTTTGAATGTTTTAAAAGTATCTTAAACATTTTAATTCAGAAGAAGCAACAAAATAAGTGATATGAGAAATTTCTGCTGGCAAGTCTACTAAGCTTTGAGTTCCAACAAAAACCAGCATTTTCAAATATTTTTTCTAAGAAGTTACAGTACATGTTTATTGCATGAAAACATCCATTTATTGGATTTATCTGATTCTTCCATTTGTGGTTAGTGGTTCCTATATTCTTGATGTAACTTGCACCAGATCCTACTAAAGTATTCCCATTATTACAAAACACACAGTAGATTGAATTAAGAAAACCTATACAATCTCAACAGAGATCCAAGCTGTGACAATGCATAAACCTAATTATGACTTTCCCTTTCTTTTTAGATAGCCTGTAGCTACATTAAATAATTTGATAGACTTTGATATTTATTATAAGTGTTGAACTACAATGATGAAATTAAATACACGAGGCAATATTAGAATTAGCACATCTTTTTATCAGTTATGATGACTTTTCATGCATTAGTATTGAGGATAAGCAAGAGGGTATGGAAAAGTAGAGCATAAGTGAGAGACAGAAGAACAAGTTATGAAAATAAATGACGACTATAAAATGGGATCATACTCAAATGAATGTTTATATATATTAACTGTAAATAGCAGCTCTACTTAGAGAAATAGTTTCCACACTTGGATGGCTTAAGTACTAAATATTAATTAATATGGGAAAAAGTAAAGTCTCCATTCTTCAGTAACATGAACACTGGCAATGTAAGTGAGGTTGCAAGTTTGTAAAATGTTGTTTAAAATATAGGCACATGATTTGGAATTAACAGGTCACCACAGTCTGTGACATGCAATAACATGTTTTGATGGGTTTGCAAACTATACCTTGCTTACTATCAACTCTTTGCATCAAGTTGCAATTTTCTTGAAAGCAGCTGAATTTAGCTTCTACACTAATTCTTCTTTTGTTGGTGTTTCATGTCATGACATCATATTAATACATTCAAATAGTCAAAATGTTCAGAATAAGGTAGCACAAACTTGGTGCAGGAGTACATAGATCAGTGTGGCCAGCATTGTCAAATAGGAGATACACAGCTTAAGTATTATATAAACTACCTTTTTCCCAAAAACATTAACATAGACACCAAAATTGTAACAAGACATATCAAAAATAAGGCACATTTATTTTGATATGGTAATCTTGAAATAGAAAACTCATTTCAGAGAACACTGGTATCTAAATGAGTTTTATAAAAAATCTTGTATTCATGATAATTATGGACATTTCTCATCATGGTAATGGAATAATTGCACATATCCCAGTGTGTCAAGTAACAAAATGGGAGTTTTATTAAACGTTTCCTTTGCAAAATTACTTTGTAGGTTCAGGTTTTTCTATTTACATAACTCAGGTGAATGGTAGAAGTATTAAAATCTACCATCACTTATCACAAGTACTGCAGGCTTTCATTTCACCACAATTAATAATCCCCTTTGTGTTGAATAAACTGAAATTAATTGCAGAATAAATTGAGATTATTGTCATTTATATAAATGATTGCAAATATTTGGACATTAGCTACTACACAGGAACATTTTATTCCATTTTATTTCCAAGCTGCATCAGGACTTTCTACACTGAGTTATTAACATATAAATTCATCAAGAATCAGGAAAAGAAGGCTGTTTATAATCTAATCCCCTGTTTATGAAAATTAAAACACCAGAAACATCATTAATTAGCATTTAACCTGAGATTTAATCTGTTGAGAGGTTAACATCCATAGAAATTTCTTGTTGTATTAACTGATAATGATGTTGCTATTTTATGGGGGAAAAATCTGAACAAAGAAAAAAGTTGCTTGCAACATGGCTTTTCATTGTGTTGGTCAAAAAAAAAAAAAACTATAGAATGCATCTTTTTCTCACAGTATCCAGAAGCTGGAATAACATTAATGTGCCTCTTATTGCACATGAAACTCAGAGGAGATACAATTGCAGATTCTTTATCTGAGTATTAAAGCGGGATTTCATCTCAGTCGAATCCGGAATGTATTTATTTCCATAGAACTCATGTTTATTTCACTTATATTTTGGACATCTGGAGGTGAATGCATCAAAGATAAAGATGTGGGTGTAAGACTTTCCACTCTGAATTTGCTAAAGAGTTTATGCACCTTTATCTGGAGAAAAAAACCAAAACAAAACAAAAAAAAAAAAAACAACATTTAGAAAAAACAGTAAATACCTCAAAACTGTACATCTCCTTTCAGGAATCAGAAATTCTCATGCTAAAGATTTTGAACCTTTTTAAATGCCATAGATTAAATGCTGTACAATAATTTAGATCTTTTTTAGACAGATTCACTATGTTTCAATGTAATTTAATTAGTATACACAAAATTACTAGAAATATTTGGATTTGAACTCTTCTAGTTCCCAAACAAAATTACATTTACATTTACTTCCACCCAAAAGAAAATCCAAAACCTATTTTAAAATTTTATTTAAAAATTTCTACAGATTAACAGCCATACCTTTCCCTGAGTGGTAGAACAGAGCAGACCCGTGTCTCTGTTTGAAAATCTACAATCAAATCCCTTTCTGTGAAGGATCAGAGCAGCTTCATCAGATGGTTTGGTATCTACCTACAAACAAACACTATAGAAGATTACTAACAAACTATCAGTCAGGAAGACATTTTAGGGCACCAAAAATTATCCTTATCATATAGCGGATCAAGACATTTTCACCTTAAAAATTGTTCAGTCTAGATTGAACTGTCATGTCTCTTCAAAAAATTTTTATAAAGCTAAACATAAGAGTAAGTGGCAAAGAGAAGAAACATATAATGTACTACAGAATATAAATATAAGTCACTGAATTTAAAGGTCAACAGATGCACATGTACTCATGATTTAGGACTGAAGTGTAGCTATCATACCTGTATTAAATGTTTTCCCATAAAAATTATATGGTAAAACAGGAAAAAAAGAGAAATACGTTAACTGCAATACTCAGTTTTAAATATTCAATAGCAATGTATTGAACAATCTTTCATGTAGCAAAACTGCTGTCTAACTCAGCTTAAGGTGTATAGAAAAAGGTACACTGAAATACACGCCTGAAATAAATTTTATGTTTATTTCTAAGATATTCAATGCTTTTGGGCCTCAATAGACATTAAAGAGTAACCTGCTCCTCACTGGATTTGTGCTCCCAACCCTTCTCCAGCTCCATTTCCCTCCCCTGGACATGTTCCAGCCCCTCAATATCTTTCTTGTGACTGCACACCTACACTGGAGTCACTTGTTTAATATGATGCATTACTTTGTTTCTTTATTTATTGCTGCTTTACATTCTTCAGCTCTTAATCTTATTATATATACAATAAGAGCATAAAAAAGATGGTTCTATCTAAAGCCATCCCAGTTCTTCAGGCTATTTTTCTCTTATTTATTTCTGGTTTACTTGTTCTTATACTGATGCTTATATTATATTCATAGTATAAAGTATTCACTCATATAATAAAAAAAATTATAAGTTTTGTGGGCTTAGGTTCCTCACTTAAAATAATAAAAATTTACCCAATATTATTTGGAGTTGAAATTAGATACTTTTTTAGTAAAACACTAATAGTTGTTTTCAGTTGTAACAGAAATTTTGCATAGTTTACAAATCACAAAAAATCTCAGCTTGAAATGATTTTGTGAACTATAGCTTATAACCACCTAAAAAATCAACTTTTTATGAATAGCACCAGCATTCAGCATATGAAACCAAGTTTCTGGTATTTATTAACATTGTTGGCTAAAGAAGTTCTTATCCTGTTCACTGGGGTAGCAGTACCACTTTCTACATGTAAGTAAGGTAATAACTGTGATATTTTCCTCCTCCTACGATGAAACACCTGACTTGGTTTTCATTGTCACTGATCTGACAGTGTTGCACTTAAAAGTAGATATTTTTATGTGCACAAAATAATACTGCCTGCTTAAACATCAGATTAGTGAAACATTAAAATTCATACTGAAAAAGCCTGACTTCCTATGGGGTAAATTAATGTTAGAAATGACAAGCTAGTAATGGGTATCAACACTTCCTCTAATTCACTTAAATTATCTTCTACTAATCTGCATAAAAAATGCATGTATGCATTTCAAATGATGGCATGAATATTTTTTAGAATTAAATATTATCCTTATTAAGATTCAAAAGATTCAAAACAAAAAGGTAACACACAATTAAAGATACCCTTAGTAAAACTGTTTTGGTCAGTATAAATATCTATGATTTAGCAGTCCATCTTCTACCACACACATAATAACCCTGCATAAAAAAATAAAGCTGTTCTAACACATAATCAAAGCAGGTGAAATATTAAGTTGTCACAGCCTCCATATCTACTTTAATTTACCTGTTCTTATATCATCTCTAGGAAAATTAGATTAAATACATTTTAAGGTTAATGAATGTCTGAGCAAGGATGAACTTAATTTACACCAAATACACCTTCTAAACATGACCATGCTAACTGCATGAAAACCTGCAACAATCTCCTCAATTTCCAAAAGTTACAACATTCTTAACCTTGTAAAACTTCACAGCACTGTTATTCAACAAAAAAGTCCTAAACACTGTGTTATTAAATCTCTAAAAATCTTTCTTAGAAGAGCTGCCAAAGTTTGATTTGATTTTGAACTCTGGGAATTAAAATGTGACCTTATAAGAAATCTTTTTAAAAAAATTGTTAGGCTTTCTCATAACCAGTATCCCAGGGCAATGCTGCAAAATGCAAAAATTTTGATGAAAAAGAAAAAACATTTAAACTCTTTGTAAAATTCAATTACTGTAAGCTAATGGACACACACTGAAAAGTTTAGGCAATATGGCAAATGTATGTATTTACGCTTAGTATAAAGGGACGAGTCTACTGTGTTCTAGATCTTCATTTACATAAGATAAAATATGTGTCTTCTGAAAAGCTGGAGTTCTGTTAAGGAAAAAAATCTTTAAATGTTGTAATCATAATGGACTGGACTCATTCATGCCAAGATGAGACATCTTACAACAAAACCAATATTCTTTCTGATTTCTACCTTAAATCTTAACAATTATTTTAATTTGGTACTCTCTTATCTGTAATTGTAATGGATTATGGCAAATCAACATTTTAAGCAATGGAGAGGTGCAAGTTTCTGGAAAAAAAAATTAATTGTGTCAATCAGCCAGAATAATGTCACTTATTCAAATTCTTGGAAGCGAGAGAAAGGAAGCAGAAAATGAGGAGAGATTTACAGAATTATTTGCAAGGCATAGTGCCATTTTTGCTGTAGGGGTGAACATTCTGTATCTCTAATGACAGTGCTCCTATCCTAAAACTGCTGCAAGCTCTCACTTTGAAGTGGACACATTAATGCTGCAAGCTCAAGAGGTGTAGATCAGTAATCAATGGAACATACAGCTGCGGACAGGGAAGAGATCACAGCCTCTAACAGTCCTATATCACTTGGGACAGTGGGGCCTGAACAGCCCAGATAAAAACAGAGGATTCACTTAGAAGTAGTAACATTGAATTCAAAAAGCAGACACTAAGCAAGCCTGTCTTTTCACAGTTTTCATACACTGATCCTATAAACAAGGGGATGTATTTGCACCTCAAAAAGAGAGGGATAGATGTTCATGAAGCTCTGCCCCTGAACTTGATATGTTGAAGTAAACTTGTAATGCTGAGCTTGTTGAAGTAAACAAAATATACACAGTGAAGACTGAAAAATTCACATCACTTGAAGATTTAATTTAGTATCAGTGTCTTCCTAACTTTTCAAAGGCACAAGACCCACAAAATCAAGATATTTTCGACTTTGAAATTCAAAATAAGAATCAGTCACAGCTGAAGGGGCTTACACAAGATTGAACTATTTACAAAGAAAGCAAACATTGTTTAAATTTTAAAATACAGATTAAGACAGAATGAAGATCAGATTAAATATATATATATATAATCTCATGTTAATACAGACAAGCCCAGGTATCATGGAGACTCTAGAGGAAAAGGGATAAATAGTTTGTAAGTTTCTAAGTATGGCAGAATTAAAGAGGGATTGCAGTGTGGTAGCAACACTGGTGAATAGCACTGCAAAACAACATAATGTTAACATAATCACATTTTAAAAGGAGCTGAAAAACTGAAAATAATTTATAGAACAGTTGGCAGGAAAAGAATGCAAAATGAGTTTCAGTCCTTCAATTAATCAAAGGGAAAATTAAATTCTGGTGGTTACATACCTTTCTTTCCTTTGAAGGAGAAAAACACTAAGTACAGAAAAGACTTTTTATGTTTAGTATTTTGTTTGTTGGTTTGTTGTGTTTTTTTTTTTTTTTTTGGTGTTGGCTAGATATTTGGGGTTTGTTTGTTTGGTTTGGTTTTGGTTTGCTTACCAGAGAATGCTTTCACAGGAACCAATCATGAGATGCTGTTAGAATAACTAAATTAGATCTTGTAACTAAGCTTAAAAAACAATAAAATTTGGGTTTAAAACTATATTCTTTATTAAAAAAATAATCAGAACAAACTCTAATGACCTTAAATTTAATTATTCTAGTACAGAAAAGACTGAGCTATATGAATGGTTCTCTCTTAAACTTTGGGAACTCATTGAAAGGTAACCCCTCCAGAGAGAGAATCTTGAATTATGCATACTAATATGTTGTGAAAAAACACAATCTCGTCATTTCTCATTACTCAGACACGTCTCCAGTTCTTGCAAAATTAAGAAAAGCTCATAATCACACTGCAGTTTATCATATCATATAAACCTGCGCACAAAGTACTTTACAAGAATAAATTATTTTACTATATCAGTAAGCTGTATCATATGTTTGCAAAACCCAGTGGTTTGACCTTACCTTTGCTTGGATTGTCCTCAAATTGACTATATGCATGTCACAAGGCATGGATGACATCAGTGGAGAAAATGTGTTTATCAACTCTGGGACACCTGAATCTGTATTCGTTGTCATTGGAATTACAGGATGATTTAAGAAGAGAGAAGTCATATGGCTAAGAAGTGATGGAAAACTGACTGGTGCCTTCTCTTCATTCTGCAAAATAAAAAAAGAATGATTCAAGTTAACATACTCTTACGTCTAAATTTTGAAACCCATTTATTTTATACATGATTTCAATAATTACATAAAAAAATTAAATTTCTAGACTGCCCATTCAATTACTTTTGGAAAATGTTGATCATCCATTCATTTTCTTCTATTGATAGGTATACTTCCTGGGTTTTAGAAACAATAATATTTCAAAATTATGATGACACCTAATTTTACAACATTCCTTGTGTTTCTGTGTTGGGCCTTAATGTTTGAACAACACAGGCTGGAAAAAAGAAATTAGTTACTACTTTAGCAAGTTGCTCCAATTTATTAGGTATCTCTTTTTATATGGAGAGGCAGACAGCTTGTTCCACATTAGGAAAGGCAGGCCTCCTTTACCACATTATTTTCTGACCTGTATTTCTTGCCTTCTCCAACCTGTATCCCAAATCCCTCTTTCTATTTTAAATCTATTTCTCTCAAACTATTCACTGGAAGAAATAGTAGCTACCATCTTTGCCTTCGTCTTCATTGCAAAAGATTTCTTCCAGAAATTTTATTTCAATGTCATAACAACAGGAACCAAAGCTATTTTATCCCAATATTTTACAAATTCTGTACTTTCCAAAGTTTCATGTTTGCAGGGTTTTTACTTGGCTAGAGGCTGTCTTACAAACCTGACACGACCAAATCTTACATATTCACAACAACTATTTAATGCCCCAGAGAAGCCAAAGAGTGAAAACAAAATAACTTTAAAAAGGCAATTTCTATTTTAGAATGTCAGTAAAGATAAGAGTAGAAATGGAAGTGAAAAGTTCTTTTGCTCTTATTTTTCCCTTGCATACTTTATCAGATAAATCCCTGCTTGTTGGTGATATTTAGTGAAAACTTTGCAGAAAATTTATTGAAAATATGCTATCTTAAGCACTGTTACATTACATTTGCATTTTATGGAAGGTTGAAAATACAGAAATAAAAAACAAATGGGAGACACTTAAAGCAAAGGGGAAGATTATTTTTCAGCTTATAACAGAAAACCATAACAGTAATTTCTATTTTGGGGTGTCTTTTCATGTATGCATATTTATTTATATTTCTGCAGTAGCACAAAATACAGCTGACAGTGAAGAAACTGAAAATATTCCAGGCCTGAAACAAGGAAAGATGGTAATTTCTGTTTTATTCTTAGTGCTTTTCTTAATAATAAATAACACTCTGGCTTTTTGGTATCTACTAAGCATTGAGGCTTAGTATTTTTAAGAATCTATTATGACCCCCAAATGATAACAGTGGATGATTGTAAAGGATTGTTCCTCCACGTGTCTCATTGCATTTATTTCTATTGAATTCCATCTGTCATCTTATGTCATCTTTAATCAGTATTGAGTCTTCTAATCCCTCAATTTAGCCTTGATTTTTTTTTCATTGAAAAGTTCAGTATCACTGGTAGACTTCTTTGCCATGATTTTCTTCTATTCTAATTACAGTATGAGCAAGCTTGCTCTATGCACAGTTTAATATAAAAGTTTTTAATTCAAGTGCCTGAATACATGCTCTATACACAGGGAAAATGTGCAGATCCATGTTCTTTCAAGGAAGAGCTTATTTTTTCACTCCAAAAAGAAACACTGTTCCCTCTGTTGCCATAGAAGTACCAAAGTCAGTCAAAACATTTAATTGCCATTTATTTTCTCATCTTTCACCTTTTTTCCCCATGCAAAGTAAGTTGATTGCTTGCATCTGAGAACTTAAAATGAGGTCTTTTAAAATATCTTATAAATCACACATCAATCAGAAAAATAATCTATTCATCCTTTTATACTCTTTTAAACAAAATATTGCAGATAAGTACAGCCTTGAAGGACTGGCAAATGTTAGATCCAGAACTGATTCAACTTGGTTAATTTTTGCTCTCATTGTGTCTAAACGTGATATCACAGGCAGGAACATTGTCCTTATGCATTATCTACTTTGGAACTAAGCCTTAGGTGGAGAATTTATATTGAATCTTGTATTCCCACATCTGGAATGGCAGTCAATTTTGAATGATTGCACCAGCAGAAAATGTGCAGGCATTCCCTGAATCCGTGCAACAGCAATGGAAACGAAGCATACAAAAGGTGTCAAAAACTGCCAGGAAACCAAGGGAAAAGGGTTTTGCAAGCATGGTGAAGATAATGCTTTCACAGAAGACTAAGAAAGGACTCTTCAAATCTCCCCTAGGTACATCACTATCATGCAGGGGTTGGAGTATGTCTTTTCCCTGAAGTTTAGTGATCCAGAATTTAAAGAGGACTGTCTGGACAGAGAGATGAGAAGGGTTTGCACACGAACAATGTAATGGGAAGAATATTGACTCTATGCACAACTTTACCATGAGGATGGCTTTCAGCAGTACCCTGCTGATGATGCATCAGAAGATGTAGTTCCACAGTCTCCATCTAATTAAAGTATTGCTCTCTCAAGAGTGACATAATTTCCTCAATTTCCATGGCAGCATTTATCACTCAAAGTGTTAGCAGAGCTCCTCTGGCTGCCTTACAAACATTAAGTACTGGCAAGAATCTGATGAATGCCAGATGATGATATGCTGGCTTAATGAGCTCAAATCAAAGCAAATCCTGCCTTTTTAACCATATTACAGTACATCTACACACAGTTATCCAATTGAAAACTGTGCTGAAACACAACCCCTTGAATGACTGTGCAGTAAACATAAATGGAGTTTCATTTAGGGTCTTCCCTTGTTATCAAAAGTATGGTGAATAATTCTAAATTTTCAGTTTTGAGGAGACACAAACCATAATCCAATATAATATTGGAGCACAATTTGCAACAAGTTTTCAGAATAGCTTAATCTATAAAAAGAGCCTTTATATCAGAAATGATGTATTTTATTGATACTCACAGAAATAATTGAAAGGCTTGGGTTGGAAAGGAACTTAAAGGTCAACTTGTTCCAACACCTCTGCCACAGGCAGGGATGCCACCCAGCACAACAGGTTACTCAGGGTTCCATCCAACCTGGCCTTGAACACTTTCAGGGATGGGGGACAGGGATGTATCTGATTTTTAATTATGCCTATATGTTTTATGAGTTGAAGGATTCCTATAGGGGCTGGCCCAGGGGAGCCTTTTCCTGGCAGCTGGTCAAGGGAGAGAAGCTTCCATGAGTGGGCTATGAGCGATCCCTCAACAATTGCCAGTGAGGCAGACTGGGAAAAAACACCAGGGAAATCGGGCTGTGGGAGAAAGTTCAGCACATAAAAGCTGGCAATGTGACATAAGGGGACACTGGACTTCTTGGAGGGATCGGGGTTTGCTCAGAGGGTTGGCTTGACCACCCCCACTCCCCCACCTTTTCCTCCCTGTCAATGGCTTCCCTGCCCGCACCTTCTCTGCCCTGACTTTGTTGGAACTCAAAATGTCCCTCAGACATTTTTGGATGTTCCAGGCCCTGGTCAGAAGCATTTGAGACCCTGGCAGGCAGTTGGAAACAGCTGTGATTTTGGATTTGAATGATGGAACAATTTACAAACCTTGCAGGAAGAGCAAGAAGTCATAAAAGCTTAGATATTATAGTAGAAGTAGTCACAAAGTAGAGGGAAGAATTTTTGAGTGCTGTACAGGGGGGTTTTAACACCTGGACAGGGGAGTTTTTAGGTCTTGTACATGGGGGTCAGAAGTTTTAAGATGGAGGGATTTGGGCCTGCCCTGTCCTCCCTCTTTCTTTCTTCCTTACCTCCATTTTCTTGGTGATGTTGGCACTCACAGATTGGTTTAGAGTAGAAAGGCATCATTTAATATAGGTAGTAGGTATTGGGGAAAAACTATAAATGTTTAACACATAATTTACCATATAAAAGATAGCAGCAGCAGGCTGGGGGAGAGAAAAAGAAGTGAGGGGACAGAGAGGATGTCAGGGTGTGTGTGTGCCTCTGCCTGAGCTGCTGAACAAACCACAGCAGCCAGAGAAGACAATCTTTTAGATAACTTGCAATAAACAACCATGAGACAGGACGACTGAAGACTATTGAGCCTTTCTTTGGAAGCACGGGCTGGAGGAGAAACTTTTCCACCACATGGAGCCACCCCTGACCTAGGGGTGAGCTCTGGCACTGCTTCCCATTCCTGTGAACCAGCTCGGTGCTGCGGCTGCTGGGTGTCCCTGACACCGCCACTCCACCTCCTGCACTGCCCACTGCCTCTGGAAAAAGTCACTCTGCCTCCAGGACCTGGAGACTTTCCTGATAAGAGTTTAAATTAAGTAACTAAGGTCCTTAATGAGAGGGAGGAAAATGCTAGTTAGACTCTTCAGAAACTTTTTTCTGTAGAGAAGAAAGTAAAGCTGAAGGAGTTGATAATTGAACACCAATTTAGCTAATGGAGAATGAATTAACTTTTCAACACAGACAAGTAATCTAAATTTTCCCATATAAAACTAAAGAAAGGAAACTGAGGCAGACAGTTTATCAAATCACATTATCTTGACTATTTTCTCCTTCTCCAGAGTCTTCTCTGCAGTGACAACATCACCAAAAAAACCTTAATCATAACAGTAAACTCTCACTGGCATGCACACTACCTAATCTAACATGCTGAAAGGCGAATGCTGACTCAGTGTGTAAGAACAATCAAATAAAATCGGAAACAGGTATAATTAATTCTGGACCCCATCCCTGCTAAATCAAGGGATGGAGAGTAAAATAGTCTGATACCAAACCACTTGGATTATTCCTGGAAATAAAAAGTTTCTCATTCTCTTTCATGTTGTGTCAGGAAACAGTTTTTATCAACTTTCTCTTTGACAGCCTCAGAAAATCAACGGGCACCACTCTTCAAAGGCGAATGTTTCTGGACTGAAAAATCTAATCTATGGAGCAAAACCACTTTCCAGAGCATCTTTATTACCAAAGCATATGGAGAAAATATTTTCAAATATCTTAACCATAAACTAGCAAAAGACAGCAATCAAGAATGTGAGTCAAAGAATTCCA